GAATTTGTGCAGGTGTTATTCTAAGCAAAAATATTGTTTTTACTTCTCAGGAATGCTCCTTTACAGCGTAAGTCGCAATATTTGTTGCCAAAAAAACCTTGCTGTTTAGATCAGTGTTTCTCAACACGGCATGTAAGGTGCTACCGAACGATTGATGCTTTAAGGTAAACCTCACAAACTTCTATTTCTTTTGACAAAAATCGGTTTACCATCAAAAAAACACTCGTATTTAGACTACAGAGACAGTGAATCCAGAAATATATATGTACACGCCGATATGACAAGAAAAAAAGACCAGTGATACAGGATCAGTATTAATATTTCCATCCAAAATTAGCGCGACAGCTCAAGAACAACTGAGAAACACTTGTTTAATTAACCGCTCTTAAGAATACTTAGTCAACGTCAACTTAAAATGCTGCAATTAAATCTAATAAAATTTGGACCATAAAGATCCAAAAATTTTTAGGTTAACCTCCAAATATCGGGTATATTTAACCGAGTCCGACGAAAGCGGTATTGGAGTTGAAGAAATTGCCATCTATACTCCCTCAAAAGCTATCCTGTTGAGATTACAAAGACCAGTAGAACTGTGCAACAATACAGTTGGACGACAATTGGGTAATTTATTTTAAATGATAAACATTTCAATGCAAAACACTATTTATTGTGCTTAGCCAGCACTTGTTAAAAGAACCGAATCAGTAAACTCAGTCTACATAAAAAATCATTCCAGAGCCTGTCTGTTGGGAAAGAATGTCGGATATTTTCATGAAGAGTATTCAAAACGAAAAAAATAAGACATACTTGCAAAAAAACTACAATTTCATGCAACGAACTTTGATGTTGTGGAACGAACTGAAACAAGCTGAACAAGACCCTCAAATGTGCCCTGCACCAGAACCGCCAGTACCAGACCAAAGCAACCCATAAAATTTCTTCTGTAGCAAAGATTAAATTTACTGGCCCAAGCACTTCTGCTGAACTTCCATTAAATCTAATATAAATACTTACATCCGCTTTCAGGTCATGTCAATCCGTATATCAAACAACACTGACATTGCACACTATAACAAGCGAGTTCATTAAAAAAAAAAACCTGCGTCCAAATCTCAAACTATTTCAGACTCCTGCAGTGAAAAAACGCCTCGATTCATCCAAAAAATCAGACGAAATTATACAGGTAAAGCAGAGCCCAAAAAGTCTCAGAGTTACTTGCCGCTATAAGCAAAAACAAGCACAAAACTTTATTTTCCAAAACGGCGAAAACTTTACCCGACAAAGAAACATCATTTTCTTTCTAGCATTAAAAAACATGACTGGTTCTTTTACTACTGTAGTGACAAAAACTGAGGTGAAATTCCCGAAGTGACCTGCTGTCTTCTGAGTCTAAAACTTAGGCTTTTGGCAAAACAATTAAAAAAACAATTCAAGAAGAAACAGAAAGAAGCAGATGGTCACAATTAAACCAAACTTTACAGTAATTATGATCAAACTAACAAAGTACTCTGTACATCCTGAAAGAAAGAAAAATAAAGCAAATTTGAAAAATGCGGTTCAATAACCAAATATGACGTTCAAGAAAATGCTACATAAGAGCCACGATCTATGATTGCTGATCGGAGACAACATGCAGATCCCATTGCGATTATCGTAGCAAAAAGAAGCACCAACGTCACCACCAAACAAGCAACTCCCAATTGTTGTAAAATCAATTTACTGCAAGGGGCCTAAAAACTTATAATTGTGCAAGTATAACAGACTCACAAGAGTTCCCTAAAATGAGTTAAAACAAGTGAAATTATGGTTCTTTTGCAGTTTAAAAGATGAAGCTCTCTCCTCAGAAACGGAAGGTCATTACCAGTTAAATCAATCACATCTCTTACGTTAACGATCCTAGTCTGCACCTGAATAAAAAAAAAACAAAAATCTTCTACATAAAAACATACCTCGAACTCCCAATCTGAAGTTTCATTTTTGCATGCACCAGCCGCGACCCAGATCTTCTTTAATTCAACGCTTGGCCCACAACAGTGGAATTGCATTTCAAGTTTCTTGAAACTTTCAAGCTCGGTAGCATTCTTTTCTTTACCCTTGTACGCATCCGTCATCACTGACTGCATAACATTCAAAATGAAGGAAACCATATTAATCGTCAAGAAAGAAAAACCCAAATTAAAACTTAATTATATGACTGGTTACCAACTTCGGCAGTCTCTTCAAGCTTGGAATAAGATGATGCAGCGACGATTTGAGCGGCAATTAAGCAGAAAATGAAGACGAACATAATCAGCGCATACTGCAAAAACCGCAATTAAAAAACTTCCAAATGAATGAAAACCTAATATTTAAACAAATGTTCTACTAAAAAAAATCATTAATGTCATTACTGCAAGCAACAAGCCCCTCTGCTCGTTCACTGCACCAAGACAACCCATAAAACTGATCAAGAACGATAAAGTCGCGAAGACCGCCAACATAATGAGTCCAGCTTTCTGAAATAAATAACGAAAAATATAGTGACAAAAAAACGCTTCTTCAATTACGGATGTTAGCTAAGTGAAAAACAGGCTAAAAAAAACAGATTTGTAGCAAACAAATAACTATTAAAAAATTCATGACAAAGATTCGCAAAAAATGAAGAACCTACACTAAATTCAAAACGTTCAGGGGTTGATGGAAAACCTTTGGGAAAGACATCTGATGCTAAACCACGAATAGCAACAATTAAGAAGAATACACTAGCAGCGCAAACGATTCCATTCGTAAAAAATAACATATACTTGAGAACCTTCGACCCACAACTCAGCGTCATCTTCTGCAATTAAGAGTTCTAGAATCTGACTATTATTTTCAACTGCAGCTTATACGCAGCATACGACGTAAACGGAAAAATGTTCATGAGAAAAGTAGGTTTATATTTAACAGACGGAACTGTCATTCATACTTGGCTAGGACCTGATTTGTTTGAACAGTAAAACTGATAACAAATACGTCCTCCCTAAAAAACAGTTATAACCGAAAAATTTTCAATGCGCCTCACGGCATAGAACACTAATTTGAAAGAATATGGATCCCCAAAGCTATACAATAAAATAAAACTACAAAAACGTGCCAGCAGAATTAAAGCAAAGAAAACGAAAAATGTCACTCCTCATCTCATAAATTAGCTGCTACAAAAAATTTAGAAATTTTTTAAAATTCATAGCTATATCTCTGAAAAAAAATACTTCAGAAAGCTTTAAAAACAAAAAAAAACAGTGCCAAATGATCTTTTTTTTAAGAAGTGTACATTTCAAAAGTTGTTCCCCCAAATTACCGAAATAAACTATCCTTAAACAGAAAGTAATAATGCAGCAACAACAGTTCAACTACTACTTAGTAAAAAGTTGATAATATAATCACTGGATTACTTTCTTCAAGTGACTGTAAGAACTAACATTTCTAATAAAGGCTAACAACATTTCACTCACTCTCGGGAAAGAAACTGAAGCAAATCAAACATTCTAAGTCTCAAAAACCTGCATATTATTTGATATACTACTAACCTGATAACCCCACAATCATCTCCTTGAATCACGTCCCCCCAGTTGAAGCTATTAACAAGAGGGTAATTCTTCATTTAAAAAAATTAGGATTTTGAAACAGATGTATATTAGATTTTGACACCCTAAAAGGCGGCTTAAAATCCAAGAATAGCTACAACAAACACTTCATTATTCAGTAGTCAAAAAAGAAAGAATTTTTCCAGATCTCTAATAAACATAATTAAAATAACAATAACACACTTGATAGCTGACACCCACTAAAGGACCGAAACTGCGGCTAAAAGACGTCTTCGTCCCCAACAGTATAAAAAATATTAACACCACCGTTCCGATGCACAACTTTAAATGTTCAGGCGACCAATCAAAGCTAAACAGTCCAACACCTAACCGCAACTGCTCCTGCGCCTCACTGCCGGGCTTCAACTAGCCCACATTTTAACTTGAAACACAAACAAACCATAGATTAAATAATGCTACTCAAAAGGACCACGATCTCATAGTTCCCCTCACCCAATCATGAAGTATTACTGAGCCCAAAGCAATTAATCAGTCTGTAGCATCTTGGGCAAGCATTAAACTCCGTTATGGCAACAACAAAGCAACAGGAAACGTCCGTTAAACTGTTAAGGAAGCTTTAAACAAAACAGTATTTTATTTTATAACGCTTGCCCCTAAATTACTGAGCTGAAAAAAGCGACAAAATATATTAGCTACTTTAAGGCTTCACTGTTGTTAGGCATTTGAAGCTGAAGAGGTATTTTTTTCTACACTTCACTATTCGTCATAGATTCATCATTTACCGATTAAGTATAGTCATCACTTTGCTATCATCGACATCAAACCGCAAGCGGAAACTGCAAATCACGATAGAGACGACATTTCCAACGTCAAACAGTTTCATGCAAAACAACTACCATTATGTTCATCAAATGTAATTCAACGATTCCAGTTATAACTACTTTTCAATCAATCAAAAAAGAATCACGAAAAGCACTATAGAAATATGACCAATGATCAGTTAACGAAACTCCTAAGCAAAAAAAAAAA